CGTGAATAAGTATTTACACACGATTGTGTAACTTAATTCAGTCAGAGGACATTCATCAGACAATCAGCATTACTCACGTATTCAAACAAGTCACGCGTTCCTCATTCCACTTCTTAAAAGGGAATGAAATTGACATCATATCACAAAGTATCATTATTCATGTCCCAAAGTTGTTTACTACTGCTCCTTTCCATTCGACATCCTAGACATTCCGTTCCAAACTTGGAATGAACTTCACCGCTTCCAAATACCTCGTGGAATACGTATATATTGAAGAAGTTTGACATTATCGTGTGTGGCATTACCAATGGAATTTCTAGAGTGATAACTATCAAATAAGTTTCGTTTGTGTAGTCAGCAGGCTGGGAGATATGAAGTTCCGAACCTAGGTGTAAAGTGTCAAATATTTCCACCAAATGTGGGACGTTTCCTGCGTAATTATACTTATCATTCCATAATTTACATAAGAAGTATAAATAAACTATAAGACTCTAAGATAATTACAGATAATCTCACCAAAGAAAATTTCATGTAGCTGAAACACTGTCAGTGGTTTCATTATGATTTACTACGTCACATTAACTTAAGATGTAATATGATCACTAAAGCTGAGTATGTAGAGATTTACAAAAAATTGCTTGTCATTTTTCTAGGTACATATTATATGCATATTTTATAGAAGACCTGAGAAAAAATACAAAAAATCTTCAGATACAATCAAAAGTTTTCGGATCAAGATTCGAACCGAGTGTCCTTCAAAGGAAATCAAGGCACTAGGCTCAGATACATCTTCATTGTTTTTCTCAGTAACGCTTCAATCGTAACTTCTGCTGTGTATTTTTACCTACTATTCTAGGAGTCGAACAAGACGACGGATGACTGTTACCTGCGCAGTAGCAAGGACTGTCACGTGGTTACAGTTAAACCAATCAGCGTCAGATTGACATCTTTTGTGTGTCACAACCAACTTCTCGCGCGGTTTTCATTAAGTTTTGCCGTGTATTTAAAATATGAAGACGAAGGACCTAAGCGTCAGATTTTTCACATTATATTACAGGGAAATAATTTTGAAACAGAAATTTAGTAGGGATAACCGATGTTTTGCATTGCGAAAAAAAAATCATAATTTTCCTATCCATTTATTTCCTGGAATAGCTTATATCATGGTTTGCAAAATATTAACGCAACATCTGTAAAAACAATAAGGGAAAGTCTACGTTGCATGTTTTACTGTAATATCGGTTTACTTTTACTCCGCCATCAATTTACACTCATGTCTATTTTAGAATAGCAACACACCCAACATACTGTACATACGCCACTTTGGTGGTGTTAAATTAAATTAAACCAGCTCGTCAGTACACACTGGATCGTGTATTACAGCCTCTGAACATTAATCAGTGGTCTACGTTCATACCTCCAGGATAATGATTCATCAGAAAAAAGCTTTACAACAGAACCAATAAAACAAGAATTTACACTAGCTGGTCAGGGATATTACATGTTATGAAACTTAGCAATATTCAAGTCTGTAAAACATAACTTCATTTCATATTACACGTCTTCTAATTCAACAATTATCTGTACTAACTGTTGCGATAGACATGTACCGGATATGCGGTTACCATGGACTAGCTTCACGTTGCGACAGAATGCTTATATTTGCAATAACTGAACACTGAAAGTATGTAAAATTAATAATAATACACTTGAAACATGTTTTTTTTTTTCCAAAACAAAGTTAATCGTTCCACTCTTATTTCTTGAAGGACACAAATTAATTAAATTAATTAGTTTTGGGCTTCTGGATCGTTCGAGACAAATCCTCGGGGCTGAGAATGGAACCTTCTTCCCTTAGTCTTCACAGCAAAAGTTACGATTCCGCACCCTTTAGTATCTTCGCTTTCCATTAACTGACGTCAGGTTCATTTAATTTTTCGTGACCACAGAAGCGTAATAAACTCGACGAGACGCCAGGTCAAGCTCGCTTAATGTTCCAGCCATTGTCTCTCTGAGCACGGAGATTACCCTGCTAACAACTTTTCGTAGGCGAGCATATTTATAACCAAAACCTTGAAATGTCTTTAATTGTGTTAACATTCTTACATTCACATTCTCTGTTCGCTCTTAAGGGTCTTCTATATTCATCAAACCTTTCATAAATAATGTAATTACGGTCTAAAGCACCCGAATTTACATTTAAAACTGCCAGTACGTAAATGTAATGTAGGAAGCTTAACAAACTCCCTTATATATAACACAGCCCACGTTTGTTTATCAAACAGAAAGGCACGCAAATGAACCTTGCTCCCTTTATCACTTAAATGAAACTAATAAAATAAATTATTGTTTTAATGTCATTTTTTGTATTTTCCTCCTAGATTCTTTGCGTGTCAACTGATGTCTTAAACGTGCCTCTTCATTTCGTCATATTATAAACTATTTTGTTTCCTCTATATTAATATTATTGGAGACAATATCACGTTTATTTCCTCATTACGCAGTTTTCGATTTCTCTGTCGGAAACAAATTTGACCCCGTAGGCCCATGTGCTTTCTAGTTTGGATACCTACTTCCATTTCACGTTCATCATAGACAGAAAGAAGGAATACAAAAATTGAGAAAGAATAGAGGAAGAGCCTGGCGGCTATATAACATTTTTGTACGGATCGCGTTCACTGAACAGCTGACATCAGAAATGGATACAGCACAAACTGTGAACTGACTTTGCAGGTTGTCCCAGTATGTACAATTCCAGACAAACTCTGCACAACGGAATTCATGAACCAGTGACTGGGTTCCGAATCGATCCACGCTCCCCAACCGGTAGGATAGATACGCTGTTAACACATGAAGGACTCAGATAGACAGACAGACACAGATGACAGTTACGTATACTCCGAGCAGATTTATTTATAAATTGCAACTACCATTAACAACACTGACTCACATGTTTCCACTAGTACGCCCTACGCAGCCTGTTGCCACACTGAGATATGCTCAGATTTCATTACAGTGTGTATACCGATAAAGTGGAACACAGCTGTCACCTGCCGGCTCTCGGCAGGAAGTGCTATAAAATAGGTAGGTTGATTGCATTGTTCTCATGGGGCGATACTTGACTCGTATCGGGAAAATCTCATGGGGCCGTGGGTCAGGAACAGTCTTTCATCCTTAATTTTCAACATTATTCTTCCGTCTACGTCTATATATTCCAAGTGGTTTCTTCCCTTCGAATTTTCCAACCTAAATTATGTATGCACTTCTCATCTCTCTTATGCGTGCTATATGTACGAACATGTGATCATCCTAATATTATTTGGTGAGTACATAAGTGCCATTTTATGCATTTTTCTCCAGTCACCCACTACTTCCCTCAGATGCTGTGCGTATCAGTGATAATAATATTAATAACAGTTAAGACCAAAGATTATTAAATGCAAGTTTCTGTATGAAGATTCAAAGTAAAAGTTATAAGAGTGACTATGGAAACGTTAACGTTCAGATGATCACTGAAAACAACTTCTTCCTACGCAGACAACAGCCACTCACATACACACCTACGCAAACCCCATTACGTACTGGGAGCCAATGCTGGAATCAGAACACTGCAGTTCTGAGAAAAATAACAGACAGCACAAAGAATAAAATAAGTATGTTCACTGACTCCGTGGAAGACACACTAGGCCAGGTAAAATGACATACGTACATTCTTCCCATAAACTACTATTATGTGTACCAATAACTATAAGAACAGCACCTTCCTAACAACAAAGTAAAATCACATTAAAATAACGAAATTATAAATATAGTTAAAGTTAACTATTTCATAATAAAGTTTGAAAGCTCTAAATTGAGCATTAACAAGTAAACATATCAACTGACAAAGGAAAATACTCTGTTGTATTAGTTCTATATATAGTTCACACACTAACCTGGCGTGTTATTTAAGTTGAGGTTGGCTGCACTTTTCTTCCAAATCATAACCTAAAACCACAAGTAGCACTGGCCGAAAAGATTAGTACTAATTGTGACTTACTTGCAAAGTCTTCGATGGATATTTGTTTCAATACACTGAACACAAATCGTAGGTTGCCAATGTTGATAAAGTGTGACTGTAACACCGCAATACAAAAGCCAGAAAACACATTTTCCCACACATAGCTTGAATCCCGCGTTATCTCACACGCCATCTTTCACTAAACTTGAATACCAACGTGATGAACCAAACGGCGCGATATTTAAAACTATTCCAGGAACACGTTTATCTATAACCACATGAATCGTTTTACCCAGCTATGCCATTTTAGGCTAGTCCCTCTCACAGCAAATAAAACACAGTACGTCCAAGATACCAAACCTATGCAAATTATTTAATACTCATTAAGTTTCTTATAGCTTATATTACTAAAAACAAAAGTGATAAAACCCCAAGAAGCAGAGTCTTCTTCAGACGCTAATAGTCGCTCAGCTGGTCAAGAAATTACCCAACTTTTATCGAACCTAAAGGTCCATCACCGTGTTCACAAGAACCCTATCCTCAGCTAGTTTAATCCAATCGACACTATTTGTTAATATACATTTTAATATTGTTCTTATAATTAGTACTACGACCTACATAAAACACTTTACTCCCCAAGATCATCATAACACGATCTTTATTTACATGTTGGGGGATATTTCTGATAGTAAAAACAAATGAAATTCAGTGATAAAACTGCATCTAAACTATTTGAGATGAAGCATTATTATTCACTATAGCACATGAAGTTTAAAGTTGAGCATTACATGAGCTGTTCTTTATAATTAAAAAAACTTATTCTTGTTCATTAATTAAGTAGTTAACAATATTCTAAATGTCGGTTCAATCAACACATTATTAAACCAAGTGATGTCATCTGGTAACAGAAGCAGAAAACTAAACCTTTCTGGTTTACAATACTGCAAAGCGATGGCGCCAGTGTGCAGCCATGCCAGCATCCTCGGAGAACAATCAATAATAGAAGGAAGGCAGGTGTCCATATGAAGGCAGATGAGAGTCGAAGTGCATTCTTCAGGACGTGCGTAATACAAGTTCCTCGTGGCACCCTTGTAACGTAAGGACGCTGGACTAATAGAACGCCCTTCTTTATTAAAATAGAATTAACATGTTAATAACGTCTGCCTAAACTGATAGTGTGTTTCAACCTGTGGCTTACGTACCATGGATGATGCATATTAAACCAATGTAAGTAAGGCATGTAGATTGTGTGTGTGTACAGCTGTGAGTACATGGCAGTGTTACTGGTGATGAATATAGGAGGAGTTCTTTAAGGTAATTAAAGGAACCATAGGAAAATCTGAAGAAAGTTTGTGGCAATGTTATGTTAGTACAATGACACAATCCTTGGACATCGACAACTTTTCAGACTGGAATTCTAAGAGGGTAATATTTTTTTCGATAGGGCCCAACAGAGTAAGTTTCGCCTGAAGACGAGACAGATTCCAGTCTCCGAACCATCTGTTTTAATCAAAATTAGGACGATGGATGTCTAAGAAGTTTGTTATTGTACCAGCAGTCAGTTTAAATTATTTTACAGACCGACAAACAAACTCAGTTTTATAATGGTAGATAAATAAATGAAAATATATAACCGATCTAATTACCACAAGGCGCAATTCTGACTTTAAAAAAGTTTCAGCAAAGACAGATTTAGTTGCATGATAGCAACAGTAAGAATAAAATAATTAATTTTATTAAAGTTACAATTTACAATTAATGTTCTTCCAGTCTTCACACTCTGAGTCTCTTTAGCGCAGTCAGCCTATTCCATTTGTAAACTGTTAACATGAGGCCTATTGTTCCATTTCAACAATGATTATCCTTATTTAATTGCAGACAGTGTCTTCTAATCGTTATAAAAATTATCATTTCTCCTAAATCTAAGGCATTTTTAAGAATGTAATTTATGCAAAGTTTTGCCGCTACACTAACTTACGTCATACCACGTGACGTAAAAATTCGAGTATACGAAAAAATCGTAATTTAGGCTGCTCCGTATGAAGACCTTATGTCCAACGTAATTCCTATTGACTAAAACCATTGTTACCGGACACCAGAGATAAGAATATTCGAGTTCTTCAATGGATTACAACATTTATACGTAGCCTGCCTGCGTCACGCTTATTATACATTTTCAAGGTAACTTCTAGTAACTTATAATTTACAGAAGAACGAGTTCCTGAAATAAACCGAACCGTTCGGTTATTCATCTGTAACTAATGATCGACGAAGTGAAAACTGGGATCCCAAGAGGCGATGAAACGTCAGAACGTTAGAACCCTGTCCCTGGTGGTCTGTACTTTCACGTACCTTCTGATAGGGGCGGCGGTTTTTGACTCACTGGAGTCGGACACCGAAAGGAAACGATGCGAGTTCCTGACAGGTAAGTCGTACAAGACGCCATGAGCTTCCCAATTAACATAAAATACACATACACAAGCAGGAAAGTAAGTTACATAGATCTATAATCCTCCTTGAGAAGCTGGCAGTCGCTTAGCTAATCAACAAATTCCTTGCCTTTTTATGTACCCAAAATTTCATTACTGTTCACACCCTATTCCGTTTGGGTCAATTTAAATATTGCCATTCAATTTTAGTCTAAATCTTCCAAGCAGTCACTTTCCTCCGGGTGTTTCGCATCTCTCCTGCGTGTGCTACATGATCCGCCTATCACATCCTTCTTCATTTGATCATTTTAATAATATCCGGTGAAGAGTATAAATTATTATTTAGGATTTGAGGTTTCCACGACGGTGAATCTGAAAATGGCCGTCTTCCTGGGTAGTCTGGTAAAAGTTTACCGACGTTTCAGAGGTCCTTGCTGCCTCCATCATCAGTGAGATAAATTATAAGTCTTCCCACTAAGCAATAAACCACGTGTTCGTACGTATATACGCTTTACCAAATGCCCTTAGTGTGGGAGAACCACTCCCAAAATAAATCTGATTTTGTTATATTTCCAGAGATGAAAGAAAACTTGCTGAAGAAGTACAACATCTCACATGAAGACTACAGAATGATTGAAATTGTCATAATTGAAAATAAGCCACACAAAGCAGGTCCGCAGTGGAAGTTCGCAGGGGCCTTCTACTTCGCAACAGTGGTTCTAGCCATGATAGGTAGACTTAAAGATGAAATTTATGGACGACTGTCTCCATGACACGTGGATTTTATCGCTGTTGATGTTTCCGTTTGAATTTTGTTGTAAAGCTGATGTTTCTTTGGTAGGATATGGGCATTCGACGCCCGTTACGATAGGAGGAAAGGCTTTCTGCATGGCGTACGCGATGGTCGGAATTCCCCTAGGACTTGTTATGTTTCAAAGCATCGGAGAGCGTCTCAATAAGTTTGCATCGGTTCTGATCTGTCGTGCTAAGCGTTACCTGCGCTGTAAACGCACAGAGGCCACAGAGATGAATCTCATGCTTGCTACAGGAATGCTGTCTTCTGTAATCATCACTACTGGAGCAGCCGTGTTCTCCAAATATGAAGGATGGAGCTACTTCGACAGCTTTTACTACTGTTTCGTCACACTTACCACCATCGGTTTCGGTGATTATGTAGCCCTCCAGGTACGAACATGTCTGTAAGTTACAGTTAACATTTCTTCTGGTATGACTGAACACTTTCTAAATCGCAGAGCTCCCGGATAGTTTCGTATTTCATATATGATAAGAAAAGCATTACAACATAATATTCATTGACAGACATAAATTTAAATTCTATCTTTATGTCAGACTAATTTTCCCAAGTCATGTAAATCCTTTTCTATATAATTAAATCGCACTGGAATCCACCTCTCATGTCGCCCAGACAGAAGCTTATCTCTCGTGTACCATGGAATGCTTCCAGAGTTATTTCGAAAGTTTCCGGTCAGAAACTAAGGCTATAAATAATGTTTCATTACAGAATGATCAGGCACTAATAAACAAGCCAGGTTACGTGGCACTCAGTCTTGTGTTCATCCTCTTTGGACTGGCAGTCGTTGCTGCCAGTATCAATTTGCTGGTTCTACGCTTCATGACCATGTAAGTCAGCAAACAGTACGTAACGATGTGGTATCTGCTCATATTAACCATTTTGAAGGTTACGTACCATTATTTTTTTTATTAATGTATTATTAAAATTTTGGAGCCAGTCTGGGATCCCGCGTGAGATAAACACACTGACCAGACATTGATCGACTCCTTTATCACTCTGAGGATGTTCGTCGGGAGGACAACGAACTGCAGTCCGCCTCACATCATGTCCTTACCCTGGATGGAGAGGTGATGTCTGTTAATGGGAAACTATTGGCAGGTCACGTGCTGTTGGACTGTAATGACCAGGCTGATCAAGTTTCCGTGTGTTCGTGCACCTGTCTCGGACCAGCAAGGTGCCGTAACCATCTGCTACAACTTGAACCTGTCTACCAGCCATCTGCAGACAGCATTAAAGCCAAAAGAGCTTCTGTCTAGAGACAAATCTCTCTTGGAGCACAGACACTTTTGATGCTGTGAGATGACTGTACCATCATCTCACAGCATAAGTAGAAATGTCACCTGTGTGACTAGTCTCTAAGTCACTTTTTCTTATTTACATGAACGAGATGTTGCCGATGCTTCGCTCTGTCACAGTGGCAGGTATTTTTCGGGGAAAATATTTTTTCTAAATAGCTACTTAAATTATATTAATGATCGTACGACACATCTGGAGTTTTGGACAGAAATTTGTTTTAACAAAATACATTATTTGGGCGCAGAATTATGTTTCGCACTCTAGATTTAATTATTCGTCGAGTGGAGTTTGTCACCGTGAAGATCTGTCATTTGGTCTGGAAATTGTTTGGGTAATCAAGTATGACTAAACTCTCTAGAAACGAGGTTAAATTTTATAAAAATTCCTCATCAATATCAGCTTTTCTAACACATACCTGATTTTCTAAATCAGTGTTCTCAGCATTTTAATATTTACAAACCTACAGAAATAAAAATTTTGTCAGCTCGTAAATACCTTTTCAATTCAACTGTAAGCAGTAGAATCACATGGAGATTTTTGTTATATTTTCTTTTTTGTTTTCATTTTGGCATTTTGAAGCAGGAACAGGCAATATTGATTTATGGTTATATATGTATCAATATTTTGATACTGGCGTACCACCTATACAATCTGATACAACCAAAATGACCAAGGGGCTTGTGCAAGCCCCCTGCAGCACACCCCTAGTGTGTATAATTCAAGGGCTAAAATAAAAAGCCATAACTTCTTAGACGACTTCCAGCTGTTTCGATGTCATGTCGTAAACAGTTCGAAGCCAGTGTTTAATTTCATCTCAGATCAGAGATTTTCTGTAGATGTACGACAAACCGACCGCCACGGTGGTCTAGCGGTTAGAACGCTGGCCTTGTAATCGTGGGGTCTGGGGTTCGATTCCCGGCGGTGCCCGAATTTATAACTTGTGTTGGGCAAGGCCGTGGTCTAGGCAACACGGAGTTTTCCTCCGGGGTCTTCCCCGGTTTCTCCGTGGCATCCCAACAATTACTCCATTCACACACAGAAGAAGGCAATGGCAAACCACTTCTGGATCATCTGCCAAGAACGTATATGAACAGGTCCCAGTCCGAGAAAAGGATGGAAGGATCCGGTTCATAATGTCGCCAACCTCCTGTAAAGGAGACGACGTAATAAAGAAGAAGGAGGACAAACCATTTAGAAAAGTTTTTTTCCTGTTTCTTGCGATACTGCAATCAAACGTGTGAGAAAATGATAAATTAAATTTAAAAAAACAAGTTGAGAAATTACCCACATTACATTTGAAGCTATTACGGAGTTAATATCAGCCTCTTTGTCTCTTCTGTTCTTTAAATTTTACGGAAGATAACATGGCCTAGTGTACAGTCTGAATTTCCTTATTAAGTCGTCAGTTATATCCTGCTGCGAGAAACTGCTCAAGTCTGGTGAAATCTTCTAGGATAATCAACCATGTGAGAATGGAGTTTTTCTGAGAGGCTATCTCTGCCCCTCTCATCTTCTTTTTCTATGGCTCTCCGGTCCGTATTCGGTCCATGGCCTCCTCAGTTCTCCTCTTCCATTCCGTCTGTCTCTCGTCAGGGGTTGTGATATGTAACAAAACTACCTGCTGGATCTCCTTCGCCTCAGAATGGATAAAAGGGGGTGGATGTCAGCTGTCTTTGAACATTGTTTTTGATGACATCAATGATGTATGTCAGTAGCCAGGTTTGATGACTGACTAACTGTGAATTCTGCAGTCTCCATTCTCACATAGTAGATCACCTGAGAAGACTTCATTGCATTCATTTGCCATGAAAACCTCAAGTCTTAAACTAATGCTCAACTATCAACAATTATTTATTTCTTTAGTGACGTATCGAGTTACTGATAAGTACGTTTGTACGTATTCGAATTATGGAAAGAACGCTCCACTAGCGCCGTGTCTTGACAAAATGAGTCGTTTTTTTTAATCACCATGCACAATAATGCTCAGAATATATCAAGTTTCTTAATATATACTATATCAGTGCTTTAGTAACTTTAACATTATGGTGCCTGAGACTACACTATTTATTATCGAAGCCAAACATTTTCCCAGCCGTTGCATATTTTAATATTATGAACTAGGGCAGCAAAGCCAATAAAGTGACTGTCTACAGGGATTCTTTTTCTATATCAGGAAACCCTTTCAAGTCCTGGCGACTACCAAGTCTAAATAACAGAAACTGATAGCTCATTCCCTGAGAATAAAGCAGCCAGAGCATTTAGCTGACCACTCACCTTCCTCTAGTATCGAGATCTAGAATGTGTGGGACTTAAACTTTATTATCCCTGTTGATACTTCGGCTTCTAGATCTGTAATTAACCTAGCATACAAACAGAAGCACTGTTAGGCACAAGACAGAATGACATTCATTTAAGTCGTCTCTTCTTAATTTACCAATTTCTAGAATTTAATGACATTTACGAGTACCATAATTTAACTTTAATTCATATATACACAAAACCTCATAAATGCAATTAAAATACGTAAGACTTTAATATCAGCAGCTTAAATGAAAGTACAAAATATTTCAGAAAATCAATTCAGGTATTTTTTTAAACGTATTCTGATCACCTATAATTTTTAATTATATTAAAAACATGCAGATATACCATCATAAAAATGGTATAATGTATAATAGATGACACGAATAAAATATTCTGTGTATGTGTCATAAATACGAAAATTCATAACTTTACTTAAGCTACATAAAGAAATCAAGACCACTGTAATTGTTACTTCAATAAACTAATGATGTTAACACTTTTATAATAACTGTACTGAAATGATGGGAACATAAAAGCAACACTGGTATTCCGCTAATGTCTTGGGACTTGCATAACAACACGTTTTTTTTATTAATAGACCTGTAAGTTCTTTTATCTTATGTATACAATTAATAAATACAAAATGTCAGAATAGATGACTGGCAGTCCATACTACTACTCCTTTTTTTAAAAAACAATACAGGATACTTGTCATCACTCTTGTGTTTTATTGGTGAGAGACAGTTCTGAATCGCAACTGGGATACTGGGAACGACCCGTTCTTCAAGTGCCTGAGCACTGCGGGTCCCAACTTTTTCATTGGCTCGATCTATAGACATTCGGTAGGACTCCTTGGACGAGGGATCGGCCCGTCGCAAGGCCTCTACCTGTACACAGGACAGCACAACACAGAAAAACGCGGACAAACACACATGCCTTGAGTGGGATTCGAACCCAAGGTCCCAGCGACCAAGCGGCACAAGGCCCACGCCTCAGACCGCGCGGCCACTGCAAACCCCTCTGAATCGCAACAGTATTAATTACTCTCACAAGAGACTTTGAAGATGTTCCACACTGCTTCCATTCAAATACTCGGAGGAACTTCAGTTAGGTCAAAAGTGCTATCAGAAATGTACCATTTAAAATATGAATAACTAAGTGCAACTTACCTGAACTTCTATGTTGTATTTCAGTCAATGACAAAATTTGATGTAAGTCAGCTGCTTAAGGCAATTCCCATCTCAACTTTGAAACCTTCTACACACTTTGTTATAACAAAGGACCTATCACGCCTGCTATTATAACAGCTGCTGAATAGTTTCATTATCTGCACGCATTTATTTTATTTACTTTTGTTCCAAAAATTTCTGAAGCTATCACATGAGTTTTTCTGTTATCAG